GCGCCGACTTTGGCTGAGGTCATGATCCCTTTTCAATGACGTTTTCAGGGAAGAGAAAAATGTTGGCCACAGAATAATGACTTTCTGTTAAATTGTCAATTTTGATGGGAAAAAATTTTGTATTGTTTCTAGTGATAGTGTGTTTCAGGATTCTGTTTCCATTAAACTATCACTATACCTTAGTTCTCCAATTATTGTAATAGGTTTCTGTATTTACTGGTCCCCCTTGGCATAAACCATCTTCTCCAGGAAGCCACCTTCCTTTTGTAGTTTTATAGCACTGTGTGCTTGCTTGCTTGCTTGCTTGCTCTCTTGTTTTTAATTTTTTTTAATGTTTATTTATTTTTGAGAGAGACAGAGGGTGAGCAGGGGAGGGGCAGAGAGAGACAGAGACACAGAATTCAAGGCAGGCTCCAGGCTCCGTGCTGTCAGCACAGAGCCCAACATGAGACTCAAACTCATGAGCCATGAGATCATGACCTGAGCCAAAGTCAGAAACTTAACTGACTGAGCCACCAAGGCACCCCAAGCACTATGTGCTTTCTATGACCAATTATTATCTTCTGCTCTGTGTTGTAGTGATTCATGTATATGTTATACCTCTACTATTAAGTTGGAAATTTTGCAATGACAGGGTCTCTTTGTGTTCATCTAGCATTCAAAGAACAGTGTCTGAAATAGAATAGCTTCTCAATAAACATTAGTTGAATGCTGTCTGCTTAGATCATTTCTGCAAGCTAATGGTTCATACTGTGGGTGGAATACTCATATGGCTCTATATCATTTTTTTTATTTCAAAATCAAGTATCTGTCGAGCTCAATCAGCTCCAATCTTCCCATCTTGATTTACTTTCTTCTAAGGGGTTGCCTGCTTTCCTTATTCTAGCCATCTGCTCATTTTCACTAGCCCCTATACTCATTTCAATGTAAGACCTATCATATGTATGCCTAGAACTTATACCAGGAAACTTCTCCTAACATTTAATTATACTGTGCTTGTAGCTATTAATTACCACTGGAGAACTTTGTGCTATTTATTGTGTCTTTCAATTGTTTATTTGATGTTTAAAATGATATCTATGACTAACTTGGATAAAAACATTTTTAGAAGTGTAAAAAAACTGAGTTCAAATGTCCATTTTATCTGGACATCTTTTTGAACTAAATCATTCTTGATGATACCACTTTGGAATAAGCTGTTCTATCACTTGCCTATAACATGTATATGTATATGTTTGATCTAGTATGTGATTATTAATCCTTAAATTCCTTAAGGACAGCGAATGTCCCCATTTGTTATACCTAAGTAGTACATAATGTCAAGTTCTGTAAGCTCTTTAATAAAAATAATGTAAGCAAATTAATGAGAGAAGACTAACAGAGTTTTTACATTTTTTACTAGCGTGTATATGGCCAAGGCCTATCAGGGAGGGTGGCATTATGGCTCACTCTGCTAATTCTTATAAATGCTTTTTTTTTTTTTTTTTAAGGAATCTGTGGCATCTTTAAAACCACAGTTTAACACAATTGCCAAATGCTTCTTCTAAGTCCAGCTATTTCTGAAAGAATTTGTTTATTTGAATAAGTTTACAGATTTCAAAACTATTATTTAATTTCACAGAAACTTCTTAGTACACAATGTCAGATTTCTCAAAACAATTGTAATTTCATTGGAAAGAGAGGCAAAAGTTCTAAGGTCCAGCATGGCATCTAATCTCTAGAGATCCCTGCAACCTTTAAGCCCTGTCCCCTTAGAGCCCAGGGTTAAATCCAGTGTCATGGAATGGGCAAGTCCTATTCACTCAGTATAAGAAGGGCTCTCTGATTAGCATTTATACTAAAATCATTAACAAAGAATTACCTGTTAGCATCCTGTCAGAAGCTTCTTAAGGAAAGAATACAGAGGAAACAGACAAGAGTTTCAAACTATCAGAAAAGGGGAATTACAGCACAAAACTGACATTCAATTAAAAATGTAAAACCTGAAGTATTTGGAAGAATGGAGCGTTTGGATATCTGAGGGTAGGGGCTAAAATTTTCTAAGTAACCAGTAGGGTAAGGCATTCTATACAAGGTAATGTTAATACCTTATATTTAGGTAGCTTTAGGGTAGGAGCTAAAACTTTCTAAGTAACCAGTATGAAGGCACTCTATACAAGGTACTGTTAATAGCAACCTTAGGCACTAAGAATAATGAAGCGTGTTTTAGAGATGAGACAAGCGGGGCACAGAGATAATGTGAGTTGTTTCACATCACCCAGCCAGCAAGTGAGAGAAGAGGCGTAGTCTCTTCTAGAGGCTGACTGCTTCTAGCAGAGGATGCTGAAGCTCCAGAAAGGGTGTAAGAGGCTTACCACAGGCTTGGGCAAAGAAGCAGATGCAAAGGAAGAGTAAAGAAGCTTGGAGAGAAGGAACTCCTAGGTGCCTCTGTACCTGGACAGATACAGGAAAGCAGGATAATCCATCTCTGTTTGATAGAAAAGCCAGGCTTAGAAAACAGAGGCATTACCTATTGATGGAAGAAGAAGAGATTTCCAGTGGATAAGGACAGAAGAAAGGATAGCACTGCTGACCAACAGGACAGATGACATCAGCTCCCTCTGTTCTACTAAGCTTAGAGAGTGAGACCCAGAACACCCAAGGAGGGAGAGAGGGGAGTCCTTGCTTGTGCCATCCCTCCTGTGTTCCTCTGCATAACCCATCCTCCAGGTCTTAACTCCATTGCACTTCTCAGGACCACCTTCTCTTAATTTTCTAACTAGAGATGCTCCTAGCACAGTATAATTCTCCCTCATGGGACTTTTCACAATAGTAATTTTACATCTGTCTGTATTTTTGGTTGCCTTTCCCACTAAACCTGAGAATTGGGACACATGAGTGTTTTTGTTCCTTTCTTTGTTGCCCAAATCCAGCACGATGCCTCATCCACTGCAGGCACACATAACTATTTGCTGAACATCGGAAGGAAGGACAGATAGAAGGAAGCAAGCTAGTAAGCAAGGGAGGGAGGGTCGGAGGCAGAAGGGAAGTTATTGTGTTAGGGGTCATCAAGGAGGACAGTGAAAATAGAAAAAGGAGAGACCAGGAACACAATAACAAATTTACAAACTACCCAACTCTGCTTAGGGTTGGCCTTATTTACTGTCAATTGTTTATGGTCAAATAAGAAACTCTGGTAGACCGTATCTTTGTTCTGGGCAGCCACACATGTGAGCCTCATAAAGGAGTATTACTGTACTGCCATTGGACCTTATGATGCATGTCAACACTGCTACACACAATTAGAGATGATGGCTATTTGTTTCTCTGGGGATTTTGAAACTATGACTGATTTACCTATGAGGGAACTTTGTTCCTAGATGATGCCATAATTATGGTAACACTGTGTTTGGTTAAGCTGAACTCTGAAAATGGCTTCCATCCCATTCCACTCAAGTCTACATTATATGGTTTACTAGGTGCCAGGCACTAGGAACAAGACAAGGTCACCGCCCTCAAGAGTTATAAAATGCTTCTTTGAAAATTGTTGATATCCCAGCACTTCATCAGTCACAGACCAAATGCATTCACCATAAATTATAGGGCATCAACTCATATTTTTCATGTCATTAGAAGTGATTAAAATTTACCAGTTTCACTAGTCAAATAAGCAAAGAAAGAAGAAATACGATCTATATTTTCTAAAGAAACTCCTCCCACTTTAACCTTGTTGCCAGTTACACTATAATGGTAATACTAATTATAATAGCAACTATAACTTATTTGAAAAGTTCCTATGTACCAGGCCTTGAGCTTCACATATGTTAACATTCAACTTAATCCTCAAACAAGGAGATAGGGTCCATGTGTTTTTCACATTTATATCCTTGGAACCAGCACAGACACAAGAAGATGAATGGTAAATATTTGTTAAACAAACGCATACGTAAACAAATGGAAAGTGGGGACAATCCATGTAGCATTCAAACCTGCAATTTTTAGGCAACCCAGTTTTTGTTTTCAGAAACTACAAATTGAACACCACACCCTGGTAAATTTCACACTAAATATATAAATAATGAACCTGTACAGCTGAAAGCAACCTTGAAAGAGACCTCATTTTATAGATGTAGTCACTGATTGAGTGACCTCAACAAGTGACTTAACCTCTTACCAAACCATACATGTTATTTAACAATATGAGGATAGTAACTTCCTTGAAGAGGAATGGAATTCCTAGCGTTGTGCCTGGCTCTCAAGAAATGATTTATGTTGTTATTCTATTCGATAGCATTTTATGGGTGCTGAAATTTAAAAGTATTATTTTTGTTTCAGGAACTTAAAAAATATCAAGACTATTTTCATGTTTTTTATTTGTAGAAAATATGACCAAAAATCAGAATACTGGGGCAAAGTGGACTTCCTACGATGATAAAATAAAAAGGCTAGTCCAAAAAGCAAGCACAGTATAGACCCCCTCAAAAATGTGGTAGGGAGATACTTTCAATAATTACTAATAAAAGGTAGGATCTGAAGCAATACAAGAAAGAGTTCAAACTAACTTTTGAAAAATACATTCAGGGGTTTTGTAGAAAATGGTTAGAAGAAAAATTCTAATCTTAGAACTGTGACATACATATCACCAGGTTATAAAGATCACAAGGACACTTTGTGGCTTAGATCATTCCTCAACGTTTGGGCTTGAATTCCACGACGTGCCCTGCCTGCCTTCTCTGCTGTGTTCTTCTCCTTAGCACTGATCATTGCCTCACGTCCTGTTTGTTTTGCTTCTTTTTTTTTTTTTTAACGTTTATTTATCTTTGAGACAGAACATGAACGGGGGAGGGTCAAAGAGAGGGAGACACAGAATCTGAAACAGGCTCCAGGCTCTGAGCTGTCAGCACAGAGCCCAACGCGGGGCTCGAACTCACTGACTGCGAGATCATGACCTGAGCCGAAGTCGGCCGCTTAACCGACTGAGCCACTCAGGCGCCCCTGCTTGTTTGTTTCTTACAGCCCTTCTGGTTGGAACAGAAGCTCCATGAAGGCAGGGGTTTTCACCTATTGCTGAATCACCAGTTCTGAACACCTGACACACAGATGGTGCTCAATACTTCTGCATGGACTGAGTAAATGAAGGCAGAAATTGAGACCCACGGGGATTAAGCTCCTTTTATTTAGCCGGTAAGTGGCTGCACCTGTTAAGATATCCAAGGCTCCCAAATGCTCCTCCAGGACTAGCAGCCCCTCTTACCTCTCTTCTTTTCAGAAACTATCGTCTGTCCTTGCCGTTAGAAATCGTGGGAATAACTATGCAGTATTTCTGAACCGTATGAACAATCTATATCTTTTGAAGGTATCTAGAACATTTTATTCGAGCTACTTCTAGAACTCCCATTATAAAGGGGAGATTGAAGGGTGCCTGGGTAGCTTATTTGGTTGAGCGTCTGACTCTTGGTTTCAGCTGGGGTCATGGTCTCAGGGTTCATGGGTTTGAGCCCACATTGGGCTCCTGTGTTGGCAGCTTGAAGCCTGCTTAAGGTCCTCTCTCCCTGTCTCAGCCCCTCCCCCACTCGCTCGCTCATACAGGTGCATGTGCTCTTGCTCTCAAGTAAATAAATAAATAAACTTAAGAAAAATAAAGGAGAGATTGATTTTTTTCAAAATTCCACAACCGTGGAGACTCAATCTGAGAAAACTGCTAACTCATGAATAGCTAAACAATGGCATTAGCCTGAATCTGACTTGTATAGTGATTTAAAGGTTGACTGTAATAGGGGCGCCTGGGCGGTTCAGTTAAGCACCCAACTCTTGATTTCAGCTCAGGTCATGATCAGTAAGGAAGTAAATAAATAAATAAATCAACAAACAAACTTAAAAAAAAAAAAAGAAGTACAAAGGAGACCACAAGAAACCTAATTTCTAAGGACTGAGTTTTGCCAGCTCCCTATTTGAGGAAATTGTGAGTTAACAGAAGTCAAAATTTTAGAGGCTCTCATAAATAAAAGGATAAGGAGGTAAGTACTGGGAGAGCCACAAGAAGACAAAGTAATGATAATCAGACCCAGGCTTTTTTTTCCTGAGGAAATGTATTTTACAGTCTGTAATTTTTAACTAAACAACTATTAACCAAACATGAAGGAAGAATACATGTTTTCAGATACACAAGGGTTCAAAAAATTAAACTACCACATACCCAGACTCGGATGGTATCTGCAGACTTAACTTCTACAAAATAACAAGGGAAACCAAGAAAGAGGAACATATGGGCCACAGGACACAGTGGGTCCAATTCAGGAGAACCGCAAAGGGATGCCCTAGACTGACAGTATCCAGTGACCCTGTGTAGTAATCAGCTTAGACTGGGGCAGGAGAATGGAGGCTCCTGGAGGGAAGACACTCAAGGAAAAAGCATATTTGATAAAATATGCAACATAATCAAGTTTGAAAGAAAATGAGGCCACAACAAAGGCAAAAGACACAAGAATGAAAGAAAGGCAATTGGAAACTCCAAGGGAGCAAAAATGGTATATGAGGAAGAAGATATGATCATAATACATTAATTGATTCTGTGTGAATGATATTTAATTATTAATGACACATATTTTAGAAGTAGAATTCACCCAAGAGACAGAGATTTAACCACAGTTATAACTGACTATACTGTAAACGCTCTACATGTTATCAAAGTAACAAGTTTAGGGGCACCTGGATGACTCAGTCAGTTAAACATCTGACTCTTGATTTTGGCTCAGGTCATGGTTTATGAGTTCGAGCCCCACATTGGGCTCTGTGCTAACAGTGAGGAGCCTGCTTGGGATTCCCTCTCTCCCCCTACCCCGCTTGCTCTCTGTCTCTCAAAATAAATAAATAAACCTTAAAAAAAAATTTAAAGTAACAAGTTTAAAATTTTTGGTGGGGAAGAGGGAAGGAGAGCTGACAATGGAGTAGAGATGCTAACATTGTCATCTTACAAATGGGGACTAAAAAGAGACTGTAGTTGGGAAAAGCAGAAATGAAGGTGCAGTAATATTAAGTTTAAAAGATAGCTATGGAGAAACTAAATATGTTGTATTTGGAAGAATGAAGAACAATGATATCTAAAATGCACAAATCAAGGGGAAAAAAAGATGAGTGAAAAATGGTTCTATATGGAGATCAGAATTGGAAATGGGGGAGAGTGGGACAGAAGGTAGTAGCTTTTTCTTACAGGGTTTTGTGGGTTTTGATTATCTTCAAACAATGCACTGTGTTACTTTAATGGAAAAAAACAATCAAGTAGGGGGGAGAAAATTAGCTCATGGCTTAGTCAAATTCTAAATTCTTCTGTATATAAACTCCTCTCTCCTATCAGAAAAGTCCAAATCCTCATCCTATAACCATATATATGCACTTTTGGAAATTATCATTAAAGGGAGGAGTTTGTGAATATTACTCTTATTTTTGGCAAAGACTCAACCACAGATTGCAAGTTCAAATGATTTTATGAGCCTAAAAGGAAATGAGGTAGGTAAGAAAATAGACGGTTTTTTTGTCTTTTGTTTGTTTGTTTTGTAACTCTGAACTCAGAACTAGTGAACTGCAATGACTTTACTGTTTATAGGTTCTTTTAGTGCTTGGTAACAGTTTAGAAGTGAGAAAAAGAAAACCACAAGTTAACATCCCTTGCTTTCTCCCAACCTCAAGATTTCTAGCAGCTGAAGTTTCACATTGTTGGGCAGAAATATTTAACACGAGCATCTGGGATTCATTCATGTCAACTGTTGCTCTTTAAGAAGGGTGTTCTTTATTTAAAATACTAACCTTCTCTAAAAGACTGCTTCAGAACAAATGAATGTCTCCTCCTTCCCATTCCCTGCCAGCACTCCCATTTCAAAGTTCAGCCTGCTCTAGGAAATTGAAAAGGAACCCCTTTCCTACAACCCCAAAGCCTCTTCCTTCAATATGCAAAGGCTTCAGGATAGTCCCCAAGGTGAACAACATCTCTGGGATCCTCAACCTCACTTCCAGATGGAGCCCCCAAGGTGGACAAGCAGATCCAGTTTCCCAACCCTTTTCCAGATGACAGCCTCCAGAAAGATGAGTGTGTCAGAGATCTAATCCTCTGATTCCAGATGTGGGCCAAAGAGCACATGAATAAGTTGAAACATCTTCTCCCCTACCATATGTAATCCCCTAAGGGAGAAAGCTTTTTGATGCCTCTCCAATAACACTCCACAGTAAATCTCCCCAGAGCTACGTCTCCAGAGATCAAAGCCTTATTTTTCTTTCACCTCTTTTCTCTTTTCCTGTTTTCCAACCTCAGTCCAAAAAGATATGCTATTTATTCCTCACCTGGGTCAAGGTGCTTATCTCTGAGCACACCTTGGAAATTCGGTTATTCTGAAGGTTTAAGGTCTTGAGGCCAGGCAGTTTATCTAATGATGAGGGCATCTTTGTAATCTTCTTCCCACTCAAAGTAACAATCTTAGTATTTTTACCACCTTTCAGTGCCCTTACTAACATCTTTTCAGTCATGGCCTTAGAAAAGAAATAGAAAAGGGAGAAGGTAATCACTAGGGATTAAGTTACTTATTGTGCATCTTTAGAACCTTTAATGACAGAATTAGGGTGTCATGGAAACAAAAACATTCTGAGATGTACCATGTTGAAGACGGGAGACATCAGATAGTTTCCTGTGTAAAAGATACAGATAGGAAATAGCTGACTCTTCATTTAAAGCAGTTAATGTATAAGATGAGCCTACGATACTTTATGCCAGAGACATAGATGTTATCAGACTAATGAGATCACATCAAAAGGACACAGAAATCAACTTCTAGGGACTCCCATTGGTCTAAAATGGAAAATTTGAGGATCGTAAGGAATAATCTAGAGTGAAACACGTAAAAATAGATTAAAATCTGAGAGTTCATAATGGTATTTTAAAAAGAAATGTGTTGATTACACAGGGATTGCTAGGGAACCAACTCATTCATAAGTCTGAAAATTGATAAATGAAAAAAAGGAAGCATTCTGCTTTCTCAGCACAAAGTTCATTTGAGTGTAATCTAATAGTTAACAAAGTTCCTATTCAAAGAAAAATTGAAGCTAATAAATGAGGAAGGAAAAATTGATTTAGGAAAATCACAATTTTTGCAGATCCTAGTGAAATAACAGATCTAAGGAAATATGATAATTGGATGCTAAAAGCATTAGGTATGAGGTTGATGAGAACTTCATAAGTAAGAAATCAGGCTATAACTTAAACTCGTAATCAATTTTAGCATCATTACAATTGAGACAGTCACGTTATAAGTCTCATGGACATGATACAATAAAAAGTACTCAGCACCACCTATGAAATATTATTGCCTAAAAATTGAACCTTGAAGCTAATCAACTGTCCAGACAAAACTACCACTTACAGAAAATATGATGACGGGAAAACAAGCTAAATTCATCTCAGGGAAGCGGTGAGCCAAATCTAGAACACAAGGAATTCTACGGGGCAAAAATGACACGAGGTCCGACCAACAAATCCATGGTATTAATAAAAGGGAGGAGAAACTGTCATGAAATAACAGCCAAATGCAGTATGTGGACCTTGTTTGGATTCTGATTTGAATAAAAATACTGTGGAGTGGTTTGGGGAAATGTGATCACGGACGGGTTATTAGATGATAGGAATTGCTAATTCTGTTATCTGTCATAATGGCGTGCTGGTAGTGTTCTTAAAAATGTACTTAACATCTAGAAATGCATCTGAAATTTGCAGGTGAAATGACATATCTTGAACTTTCTTTAAAATAACTTGGGTGTGGGGAGTGAGTGAAAAGAAACAGATCTAACTTATTGGTGCCCCATAATGGGTACATATGAGTACATTATACTATTCTCATTATTCAGAGAAAAGATTAGGACAAAGACAAAAATAACAGGAATGGGGAGGAGCTGAAACCAGTGGTATCTGATTACTATTAGAACTCCACTTGAGGGGTGCTGGGGTTGCTCAGTCATTTAAATGACCGACTCTTGGTTTCAGCTTCGGTCATGATCTTGCAGTTCGTGAGTTTGAGCCTAGAGTTGGGCTCTGCACTGATGGCGTGGAGCCTGCTTGCAATGCTCTCTGCCCCTCCCCCACTCTCATTCTCTCTCCCTCTCTCTCTCAAAAATAAATAAATTAAAAAAAAAAAAAAACACTC